TCCCCCGGGTTTCCCAGGCCAGGGAGGGCACTTCAGGCCTTCCCTGGCTTGCAAGAGAAGCGGGAGTGCCTCACAGGGACAATGCAAAAGGTCTCCCACAGTCAAATGTCACCCATAATCTCTCAGGCCTCCTATGTCCAGCTGAGAGCTTTGCAGAAGCCTTCCGGGAGGCTGTTCTGGGCCCACCACCCTGGGGGTCCTAAGCCAGGATTGTGGCCATGCTGGGAAGACAGAATTTAGGTGCTAAGCCTGCTACTAGCCGGTTCAGGCAGGAGGCATGGCACAGAGGGAGGCTTCCAGCAGTTCCTACCGGTGTAAGCCCTCACATTCATATTATGAATAATAAATCCTTTCAGGAGGCCTTTGGATCACTTCCCTCTTCCCAGGGCATGAAACACCACGGAGCTCAGAGAGGCAGCCTGGCCAACCCTTGAAGTTGCACTCCTTGCGAGATCCCCTGAGAAAGGTGGGGAAGGGGAGTGGGGTGGGGGGGATGGGACTCAGCGGCTGCCGGCCGGCTCTTCCACAACTGGGGGGTCGGAGGGGGGTGTCAGAGGGTCAAGACTTCTCCAACCTCCTCAGCCTGGTGGCAGCACCTGTCCAGGGTCCTCCCGCCCCTCGGCACGGGAAACGCTTCTGTTTCTCTCCGGGTTTGCTTCCTGGCTCCGGAGCCCTTCAGATCCCAGCTTCCACCAGAGACCGGGGACTTCCCTTCACAGGGTGGCACGGAAGTTAGCCCCTCAGAAGGGCTCTTCAGGGGCCTTCCTTCCTCGCTCATTTCTGGAGGCGAGCCAGGGACCCCAGGGAGCAAGAGGCCTGGAACTCGCCTCTAGAGGCGATAGGTGGAGAGTTCTGGGGAAGGAGCCCCAGGAGAAACACCCCCCCGCAGTGCGCCCCCGCCGAGGCAAGGGGCTCTAGAGCAGCCGAATGCTGCACTGCCCCAGGCATCCGAGGCTCGCCGCCGCAGAGCATACAGCCTTCGGGGGAAGCGCCATAGGAAAGCGAGGCCTGGGCCCTGGGAGAGCCGGCCCCCGCGCCAGCCCTGCGGCCTGGGCGCCGAGGTCTCAGGGCGCCCTCTCGAGCCTCCTTCCCCTGCCCCCGACCGTCAGGTAGAAGGAAACGCAAACTCCACTATTTGCAGTGCAGGTGTGACCAGAAGCGGCGGAGGCGCGGAAGCGATAACATTGTGTGGCCGCCGAGGTGCCACAGGCCGCGACCGGCGCGCTGCCCGCTCGAGCGGGTAAGGCCACGGCTGCGCCAGCGCCTAGGCTTCCGGCGTGGGGGCAGGCCTGGTGTCCCCGGCGCTCCAGGCCGCACCTTCGAGACGTCCGCGGACGAGGACGCCCCTCTCTCCCCAGCACTCTCCCACGAGCCTGGGCCAGGAGGCCTGCGGCTTCGGTTACCCAGAGGGATCAGAATCGCCATCGCCAACGCCTTGCACGTTCCGCAGGTAAGCCCGGCCCTGGCCTTTTCCCTGACCCCGACCCCAAGCCAGGCCTCTGGAAGCCTCTAACGGCCCGGGTGCCGGCTCCCCTCCCGGCCCTCCGGTGGCCCTGAAACTGCCTTGCTGCTGCCCCAGGAGCAGTGGCACGCGGGCCAGAGGGGCCCTGGCTGGGCCTGCGGCACCGCGCCCGCTCCGCTCGCTCGACGCGCATCCGGGAAGCTCTGGGTTGGAGCATCCCGGCTCCGAGTCGGCCAGGCCTCGGCTCCAGGGGCTGGCGCCAGGAGCGCGGGGGCTCTGCGCTGCAGACGGGCTTGGTGTCCAAGCCGGGAAGGAGGAGCGCAGACCGGAGAGAAGTCCCAGCCCGGCTTGGAAACGCCTGCGTGGTTCAGTAACCCCCGGAATCCTCCACGAGGGGACGGGCGAACCTGGAGGTGGGTGCAGCCGGACCCTGCGCCGGGCGGAGAAGCGGCGGGAGGCTGCCTTACCTGCCCACTGGCCTTTCCACGCGTGCGCCTTGGTGGACTTCATCCACGGGAAAGGCAGCTGGCTGCGGCCAGGCTCCTCCAGGGCGCTCGGCTCCGCGCCTTCCGCGAAGGGCCCGCCGGGCGGCTGTGCGAGCGCCAGCGGCGCAGGAAGGTGGTGGTGTAGGAGCGCCGCGGCCGGGGCGTCGGCCAGAGGGGGCACCTCGTACGGGGAGATGTCCGGGGGGCTGCCCTGCTCCAGGGCGCCGGCGAACGGCGGCGGCGGCGGCTGCCGGCCCATGTAGAGGCACGCGGGCGGGCTGGCGCGGAAGTCTGGCGCCGGGCCGCGCTGGAACGCGCACGGGTCCTTGTAGAGCGGCGGCGCCGCGTAGTACTGCTCCTCGCCGTTCATGGCTGCGGCCGGCACTGGGACCAGGGAGCTGGGGCCAGGGCCTCGGCGCAGCGCGGCGCTCCCGCTCCCGCTCCGGGCGCCGGCCAGCTCGCTTTGACAGCTCTGCGAGGCTGTCCCGGGGAACCCGCAGCCCGGCCGGCGCGCCATAGGCTCTGCCGTGCCCCACGTGGCGCGGGCTGGGGCCACCATTGGCCTGCCGACGGCCTTAAGAAGCGACGCCCAGGGCCCCGGGAGCACCTGTATTTATTTCCATCTTCTCCCTGCGCTGAATCTGTGGCACCAGCCTGAGTGCGCAGCTGGCGGCGCTCTCCCCAATGGGGCGCGCGAGAAAATTCTAGGATTTCCGTTCACTTATAGCAATAGACTTTGATCATGCTTTGA